TGTAATAAGTTTGAATCGATTTCAATGGCATTTTCGCCATACGTCGCCTTTGCATACGCATTCGAATTCTTCAAAATAATGTTTTCAACTGGTGATGGAAAGAAAAGGAGAAATGCATCTTTGATAGAATCAACACGGTTTTTTGCAAATCTTGTTAGTCCCGGACGAAGTGTGATAACGTTTTCTTTACGCAATCTTCCACTTCGATCTGTCACTGGTTCAGAGTTCCAAACTATGCCATCTTTTGAAATAAACGTTGGATCAGCATTTTCATCAATTTCAATATCGTCTGCTGAGCCATCAATTTCGATATCGTCCGGTTCTTCAACATCAGAATCACTTGTTTCAATCAAACTGTCTTCTTGTAATTCACATTCGTCATCGCTAATGTCGGCATCTTCGTCGTCAGTCTCATTCAATAGTGTTTCCAACTCCTCTTGTGTAAGATATTTTGGTCTAGCCATGTTATATTTTTGAAATTATTCTTCAGAAAATTTCATAACAATACACAACATTGCACACACTCACTAAACTTGCAAAAAAAAGGTTGACTGAATGACGTTTTTTCCGTCAAATACGTTGAAATCCCATATGAGTAGAAATCTACTCACTGAAGGTAGTCTATGTAATTTTTTTAATATTCCGATGCGAAAAATACTTTTGACATCGGGTAACATTTTTTTATGTTTAAAATAAAGCAAAAATTAAAGTCAAGAAGTTTCATAAAAATTGGTTTAGAATTTTTCGAAAAAAAATAAAAAATAAAAATGATATGCGTAGTTTTCTACACCAGGAGCATATAAAGGTTAAAATTAAATCACATAGTTTCACAATTTCATCCACATTTGGGCGTATTGAAATTAACATATTTCGTGAACAAATTTCTATATATATAGAAACTGGATTTAAATTTAAAATATCGGAGAAAAATAAAGTGTATTTGCGCAAAATTCAACGAAAAATGCAAATGATTTGTATTTTCTTCGAGATGCATCCTATATTCGATGTTATATAGCTATGAATCCATTAGTTTTCGTAACATTATTTGAACCATATGCTTTGACCGGTAAAATTGTTTATCCAGAGAATATGTCTAAATTGATGACCTTTTGACTTTTGTACAAAAGTTCAAACTGTGCGGTATACTGGTTGAAGATCTCAACACACACACACAACAAAATGCCCAACATACACTATTAGCCACAATGAACAGATTGTCAAGGCATAAAGGCTATCGGTTGTTCATTAGTGTGCTTGGCGAATATTTGTGGTTTAAAACAAATTGAAAAACTTTAACATTTTAAATCAATTCGAGAGTTGGTAAATACGGTAAAGTGGCTAATACATCTATGGAAGCTACAACGTCCTATATGCTGTAGGAAAAGAAAAAACCTTTTTCAGAAATCCGGTGCCAACTAGCTTGGAATTTCATATAAACGAAGATCGAAGGCATCCATTTTGAATTCAGAAGGATTTTAATTGTATTTTGAATATGAGGAAGTTTTATTCATTTTTGTGATGAAAATTATTTCGGAGAAAATCAAATCAAATCAACGAAGTGAAAATGTTTCATGAAAATTTCCGAAACTCATCAAGTTTGAAACTGATTACGAGAAAACGAAGAGAGGAGTGTGAGTGTGTGTGTGTGTGTGATCTATTGAATAGGTGGTTTTCTCTATGCACTTGTTGAAAAGGTTGAATTTTGTTGGAAAAAAAGAAAAGCGTCAATCACAGACAATGCACCACTATGGAAGCAAAATAGTTGGAATGTGTTTCAATAAATTTTGAAGCGCTCTCTCTCTCTCTCTCATTCACTCTTAATCTCTGCGTGTTTTGTGCATGTTCAATAAACCGGAAATTTTCGACTTGTTGTTAATTTGTTTCTGTTAAACAACATTTACTATGTTTTAAACAGGCAAAATCAACATTGCAAAACATGTTTTTAAAAATTGTAATTATTCCCATTTGTCCATGCCACATAGAAAGAATGCAAAAAAAATATGCAAATACCGCTTTAAGAAACAACTTTATACTCAAAATATTTTAACCGCCAAAAGAAGAGAGATGAAATGATGATTATTATCGATGAGTTTGGCTGACTACACAAAAATTAAAATAATGAATGACACACCGAAAAATCTAGCGCTTCATTTAATTCTCTTCGCTGGACGGGAAATCGAATTTAAATGAAGAAACAAAAAAACCGAACAATACAATTTGTATTGTTGCGCTATTTGAATAATTTAATTAATTTGCTAATTAAAAATGTAGAGAGCGAGAGACAGAAAGTGTAATGAAAAGTAAAGCAAGCAAATAATTGTATGAAATAGCATGCCGTCATGCACATTACTCCTTTCAAGCGTACACATACATAGCATGTAGCACAAAACGAAATGCAATGAAAATGTTCCGAATTCATTGTGGCATGTGTAAATTAATATCGACCATTTAAAAAAAAGTCAACAAATGTGCTGTTATTGTTCGTGATAATGTATGTATGGTGTCACGTCACGTGAATTTTTACCGTTATGATTTCGGGAATTATTGAGTGTCGAAAATGACATATTTGGAATTTTCATAAAAGCATGTCCACAAAACCCATGCCAATATCTCGAATGTACAAATGTTTTTTCATTTGGTGCGCGTGAAACGGGGCCAACGTTACACAATTTTACTTTCACTTTTACGTAACGGATACCCGTTTCCAGCTGTGCATTTTTAAGCGAACTGGAATTCCGTTTTACCAACGAAAAAAATCAACACAACAGATGCTATCTAGGAAATTTAGTGTATTCGCTGAAAATACATAATAGAAAGGTGTTTAAAACATGTTATGGAGCTTTTTTTATGATTTTCTGAAGTTTTATCAACGCGGCAAAGATATCAGTCATGTTTTGTGGATAAACAATGCCATTTTGAAATTCATTAACACAGCTTTATGGTTGAATAGAAGAAAAAAATGTTGTACATAAATGAGAGTGACGCGTGCAATTAAATCAGTTTTACCTCAACGGAATGCATGTGTAGCCATTAGCCAAACATTTGCATCAACTCATCAATCATATTTTTTGTGTGTGTGTTTGCTGCACTGATTCTATCTATGCTAACGAACTTTTTCTCTTTCACTCGAAAAATGACGGCGGTTTTGACTTATCAGAATTTAATGTTTGGTTTTGCACCCTGCCATGAAAATCAGCACCATGACTCTGTCTCGACTGATTCTATTAAATAGTCCATGGAATTTTGGAAAACACATGTAAATTTCTTAGATTAGGACCCAGGTGGTCACATACATGAATTTCAATGGACTTCCAATCAATACATACATATGTTTAGCTCTCGCATTCACTCTCGACTAGACTACGAATTTCGTATTAAAAATGGCTTGTTGCAAATAAAATAAGATTCAGCTATTGGTGTATGCAAAAACTTTTCGCATAACTTAATGTCAAACTGTATAATTACAAAGCTCCATAACAGACATACTCGAAAAGTGTGTATGTTTTGGGTTGATCAGTGTATATTTCACAATGCAAAACCATAACAGGTAAATTAATAATGGTTTCGATAGTTGACGCATGCAAATCGATCGCTGGTGTCTCTGTGTGTGTGAGGATGTGGTTTTGTGTTTATCTAAACGGCAAAAATGGTGCCTATGAATATCGCCTATAGGCGAATGGTTTTTTATGTCACACTCTGAATTCATTCTCGTTTATTGAACCATGACAAAAACCGAACCATGATGGTAACATACATACACAGCTCTTTTATCGGAATATGTGAAACATCCGGGCCATAAACAAAAGCACCGAAACACTTTTTGCGCTTGTTTACACAGAAATTTAGCGCTGTCGGTTTCTTTGTCATGACATCCTGTACGTCATATATGCATGTCCATAACCGAGATATTTTGGTAGTCAATGTTCGTTTTTTCGACCGTTCAAACATCGGTTGATATCAGTCCGAAAAATGAACATTCCATTTGAAATTCTCATTTCTCTCCATTCGAAATCAAAGTGGACTGCAATTTAGAAAACACTGTGATCACTATCATTATCATCATCGAATGACCGATGAATACTAGTAAAACGACAAAAAATGGAATAAATAATAAATGAATTGAGACGATTGAGACGCATAGTTAGAATGTCTTGTAAATCGATAGTAGAGCAAACTCCAGTTGAGCATGGTGGAAATATATTGAAGCGCTTGTAACTTTGTTTATTATTTTTTATGTAAGCGCATATCCATTCAGAAAAGAAAATATCGCTTTTCATTCAAAGGATATTTGATATACTCAAGGCAATCGAACCCCTTCATTATATTGATCGGATCGAATATTGAAAACGAAAATTTTAATTTATTGAATGAAAAGCAACACATTTCACCTCCATTCACTCAAAACATTGAAAATGTTTATAATTATTTCAGTTATTTATAAATCAATATAAGTTTTACAGCACTCGATTTGCATCAGTGTAGACTTTGCTAAGAGAAAGAGTGTGCAAATGGATCCAGAGAAATGAATTGAAGAAAAAAAAGGAAACAGAAGTACATATCAATTGCAGACATCTACTTCAGCATTTATTTCTATTTAGTTTTCTTCGTAATTTCTGCTTCCAATCTACATTGCACGATTTTTTTTTGTCAAAACTTTTGATTCCCTAACGCATTTTTTTTTTCACAGCTCGTCAATATCTGAGTGCCCTCTACTTATCACCCTCCTTTTTTTCATTAAAATCTTCTTCTTTTTAGTGCCATTTCTCGAAGCACGTAGTTTCCAATTTAGTTGAGATGTAAGCACTTGGCTCAATTTCATTTGCGATGAAATCGCTCAAAATACAGCTTCAATTTGCATTCAATAGTCAGTTTTTTTACGCTGAAGAAAATTCATCGAATGCATCATTCGAGTGGAAGTATCGCGAATGAGAGTATTTTCGTCACGTTGAAATTTCACATTAAGATTTTCGTGCGCTGATGTGAAGACGAAGAAGACCTACCTTAATATCTAATGTAGCCGGATCAACATCTGCATTAAATCGAGCCCGTGACCCAAATGTTTCTGGTGCTGACCAATGTTGAGCATCGTTCAACGGTCGTCCACGTACATCAAAGCTGCAAAAAAAATAGAACGAGAAAATAGATTGAAAAATGAATGTAATGAAAACTAAGTTCAACAAAATAAATAAAAAAAAACACCGTCGTTACAACCATATAAAAATAAATAAACAAACTTAATCCAACTTTCACAACATCATCTAAATAATTGAAATCAACATCTAAATAATTGATTTCTGTGTGTTTTTTTTTTTAATTCAAAAAGCAACCAAAGCAGCTATTGAGAAGAGAATGTTGTTGAAAGTTCATAAGATTTTGGAAATGTGTGACATATATAGAATTGGCAACAAAGTCAAATCGGGAAGTGCACAAGATTTTCTCCAAAAACAAACTGAACCAGAAAAATGTTATCGCAATTATTATCCGTTTCACTTAAAAAATTTACAATCCACTCAAACGCATATGCGCCACAAAAAAACAGAGAAGAAGTATGAAACCGGAACAGAGGAATCGAGAAAACGAGCACTGCTTTTGTGCATGCAAAACGAACGCTCCGAAAACTCTGGTGGAATGATAGTAAAAAGCTTTTTGCTTAATTAGCCCAAACTCGTTTAAGTTGATTCTTTTGCATAAATTATGAGCCAAAATTCGTGTCATGTCACATCCATTTTCATGCACACGCTGCATGATGTGCTCTCTCGTGTCTCTGTATCCGTTTTCCTGGCTTTTCGTCTTTTACATTCTCACACACATTTACAGTTGCTCTCCTTTTGCCGCAGGCATTTACATATACACACATATTACCTAATTGCTGAACAGACGAACGTAAACCAAAAGACACAATCAACTAGCATTATTAGCAATTGCAATCGCTTATCTGCTCATTCCGCTCCTCCGCCGCCGCCATCACCCTCAAAAACGGCTTTAGACAATGTTTTTATGTGCACTTACGCAAACAATCAGTTCATTATTCAAAACTTAAACTTTAGCGTGCATTCTCATCCACCGCTCCTTTGGTAGTCCTGCAAAATTGATGCGCTGTGGGCATTAAAATGCTCTTGAAAAAATATTTTGACACAAAATTTTCCGAAAAATTTACCTGTAACATTTTCCAGAGAGTAAATATTCAAGTTTCAATTCTAGGCCTTGCCGATCCGAAACGAGATACATAACATAAGTGAAACAAAAATTTCCCCAAGCAATGCACCATTGCATAACGATGAAAATGAAATGCCTTTGTAACATCTTATTGTTTCACTCTGACCATACATTCCATGGCGATGCCAGATGATTTTAATTGCAATAACTCAAATACAATGCATTTTGCCCATTTCTTGTATAGCACTGTAGTCTTTAGTGAAGCATTTCAGTTTGTGGCAAGTTATTGCATAACTTGTCCCATTTTTAACTCATAAATATCTTCACTTGAACTATTCAAATGATAATTAAAAACACTTCTACCACTTTTGTTTACATACATTTTATCTAAATTGTAATGGTTGATGGTGATGACGATGATGAGACAGAGAGTGAGAGCGAGCTCGATTATGGATTCACAAAATGAATCTTGGTATGAAATTTAATAAAAACAGAATTGTAGACTTGCATAAATGCTTTATGCCACTCGAGAAAAACAAGAAATTGTTATTGAAATGAAACCAATAAGCAAAGTTGAACGATCCAAGTTTTGTTGTTCTTTTTTCTTCGCATCAACAACTTAGGCGTAAGTTTGTCACAAAAGTTTTTTATGTAACTTTTGGGTGGAAATGTAAATTTGTTCGATTTTGACTAATAAGATTATAATCACATTGAGAGATCAATTCACTGTCTATTTTTATGACGAATATCATTTCATCTCCGAATGCTAATTTTCCCTAATTAATTGATTGATGCCAACAAACGATTATTATTTTTCTGTTTTGAAATGAGATTCTCTTTCTGTTAAGCTCCGCCATGTACAGACACAGTTCGGTAAAACTTTTGAATGCGTTTTTCACTAGAAAATAATTACTATGGAAAATGGCATAGCATGCCATTGAATTTGAAGTTATGATATTTGCTTCTTTTTCTGCTGTGCAAAGCAGTCTTTGGTTCATGTCGTTCATGCTCATTGAGTAGCAAAAGCAATAGAATTTAATTACCGAATGCAAAACTTTACATACACTCGGCAAATGCGAACGAATATTCAAAAGAATATTGTCGTTTAATGCGACCTCGTGTACCGTTCCGAATAAAAAGCGAAGAGCGTCAAAGTAATGGAATGTGGTAGAAGTGGAATCGAAGAAAAAAACCAACCCGGAGCAAAGTAAAGAGCATAATATGGTTCATTAAGCTTTCCAACCACGATTTATTCTGTACCACATAAAAGAACAAAAGAAAATTCTCCGAAAATTCCAAAGATTTTCGGGAAAAAATCGATATTTCAATGAAAGTGTAATTCGGTGAGTTGTTTTTTTGTTTGCATCCAAAATCCGTTCACATTGAACCAATTGACGACTCTTGCACGATGCATTTTACTTGTCCGACTTCCTCCCGTGTAGTGCAATAGAATGTATTTCATTTTTATGCGGTCGTTGTGTATAAATTGAAGTTTTTCGTCAAGGATTTTTTTTTTCTCTTTTGATTTACAACCATAACAGCTCAAGTGAAATCTGCTTTGATATCTCAAACATTTCACATCCGACTCAAGTCATCTTATCAATGTTGTACGATGCACAATAAAAGCCAAACGAAAACTTTTATTGTTTCACTCTCCCCCCCACACCCGTTTGTATATGTTTTTTCTTTATGTACGAATACGAATTGTCATCGTACTCGTTAACTTTAGCGATGACATCGATGAACGAGACAATGAACTGTTCCATCCATGTCTTCATGTGTCGTCGATGTTTAACTGCTCGAATGTTTGAAAATTATATTGACTTAAGTCGAAATTTCATTCAAAGATTTTCAATTTTCAAGTTAGCTATTCACTTGATGGGATTTTCTGTATGCATTTGATAACCATTTGTGTTCCATACGTTCGGTCGTCGTTATGCGAACGAAACTCCGAAAACAACAACAACAACATTAACAAAAAGCAAACAATAAATTCCAAAATGTTCCATACTCAGGAACATTCACATTATATAGCAATCATTTCGCATCACTTAAAACAAGCGAATTTATTCGCATTGGTAGCACAGCAAGCAGAGTCACAATCATATATGGAATCCTTGTATTGCGCTATGTATGTGAGTTGACTTGATTTGGTCGTATTTCTTTTGTTTTTACGGCTTGTACAAGCAAATGCTCTCGCAATATTTTCAGCAGAAAAGAGTTTTTGGGAGCGAGAGAAAAAGAAAACCGAAAGAAAGAAAGAAAGAAAGAGAATATACAAACGAACACTAGATGAAGTACTTAAAAAGTGATATAAAAAAATAAAATTTAGATTATGTGCGCAATAACTGTCAACATTTCAAGCAAAATAATATGGTTCACATTGCAAACTACTTCGAAGTGGAGAACAACCAAAATAAGCTCTCTCACACACACTCACACCACTGCTATTGATCCAGACAAGAAGCAACGCAATGACACGATAAATAGTGAGAGTGTGAAAGGAATAGATTTCCTCCCTCCAATCAAATGGCTACTACAGCCACTTTTCCAAACCATTTAGAGAACATATTTAATCAGCGATGGCATCAGCCATGAATCGTATTTTAACGCCGCAAATTTATATTGAGCATCTCGCTTTTCGCTCGCACACAAAACAAAAAACCCGGCGAATTTAATGGCTGAAAACTTTTTTTTCTTCTCCTTATACAAAATAATAGATTAAAATAGATAATGCCGGTTGTAAGTGTGTATATATATTGTGACGCGAGCGAACATCCAAACCAAAGAAGATACGAGATATTTCGTAAGACTTGAAATCAAGTATACATATTTTTCGTATTGTATCTGATGTGATCTGTAGCGAGGCGACCGAGCATCGGTCGAGTCGACGTTGAGGTTAAGCAAATAATCCCATATTATTCGCTCGTTCAAGCATTTATTCTCTCTCTCTCTTCATTACTTCTTTCGCTCTCCTCTCTATCTGCATCTCCTTGTGAAACATCTTTCAGTTTTATTTAGCATCCAAATATACATCACATTTTAAGCACTATCATAAGAGTGATACGGCATTTGTTCCATTTTCATTCTATTGTTTTAACATTGTTTATTTTTTTTTGCTCTGTTTTATTAAGAAAGCGTTTTTTTTCGTCAAATGGCAAAATTCATTCGGTTCATTTGGAGGTAGGAAAACACACGATTTTCCATTTATACCACGAAAAAAAGAGCGGCTCAGAGATTTGAAACAGAGTAGAACAGACGGGAATTTCTATTCAAAGGCGGCAAATGACATTCGATTACTGTGCAAAATCGAATCGAATAGGAAGTAAAAAAGAAGAATCCCGCAAAATACGATCGAAGTGAAACTAGATTCAAAGAAACATTTGTTTTATGTGAAAACTTAATGAAAATCCAATCTGATTATTCCCATTGGATGAACTTTGGGAATGTTTCAAGACGACAAATCTATTGGATTGGCATTGCTTATTGGTCGATGTTACTCGATTGTGTGCAAGTCTTAAAATAACACTATAAATGGCGTGGAACGAAGAAATCATGTGGTTGACAAAAAACGACACCGAAAATCGTTGTTGGAACACTTTTGGAATGACATTTATTAATGTGTGCGGTCAGTAGGCACCCTCTTTGCCATCAACTAAGAAATAACAATTTCGTCTTTATGGCGGTGCTTAATGAGCAACGCATGCATACGAATTTTAATGTGACCAACAGCAAAAACGGTATGTTGATATGTGTGTGTGTGTGAACGCGCGCTTATGTAATGTGATTAAATATTTGCTTTGGTTAGTGCTGCAGGCGCACGCGATAAACACATTCCAAAATTGGGTTCGAATGGTCTCAACACCAGAAAGAGAAGAAGAAAAAAAACCCGTTAGAATCCCTGCTCAAAGTTTGAGTAACCAGAGAGTGAATGTTTAACCATCAGATCCAAGTAAGAA